AGGTTTCTGGCTTCAGTCTGGCCCAGCCCTGGCCACTGCAGCTATTTGGGGAGTGAATCAACAGATGGAACAACTTCCTCATTCTTGTTAGCACACTCACTTTTTGACTCTGCCTTGCTAATAAATATTTTAAAAGAAAATTAAAGAAGACAACACACATTTGTAGGTGAAAAAAAAATCAACTGGTACGAAGAAAGTTTACAGACAGAATTAAAAGAGAAAATATCCAAGTTATTAGGATTCAAGACAGACTGGAAAAGGCAAAAGGGTTAGAAAGTACCAACGGTAGCAACAGAAAGTCCCCCAATCCTACAGCAGATAAAGCTGTCCAGGTGTGGGTAGGCCACAGATCACCACTCTGCCCAGGGCATGATACAATCAAGATACCCAGGATTAAAGATAGAGAGAATTCTCAGAGCTTCGAGAGAGAAGATGACAATAACATCTAAATGGGTCCCAATTCGCCAGCCTGCAGATTTCTTTGAACAAAACATTACAGGCCAGGAAGGAATGGAATGATTCTCATACTGAACAGAAGTGAGTAAAAAACAAAACCTGCAACTAAGAATACTATACCCAGCAGAGCTATCCGTTAGATAGGAAGCAATAAAGACATTTCCAGACAAACGAAAACAGAGAGAATTTATGACCATCACGTCTTTCCTGCAAGAAATGCTAAAGGATAGCCGAGGCTGTAGTATAGTGGGCTAAGCCTCTGCCTACAGCACCAGCATCCCATATGAGTGCCAGTTTGTGTCACATCTGCTCAAGTTCAAATCCAGCTCTCTGATAAGGCCTGGGAAAGCAGCAGAAGATGGCCCAAGTGTTTGGGCCCTGGCAGCCACGTGGGAGACCCAGAGGCGGCTCCTGGCTTCTCCAGCTATCTTGACCATTTAGGGAGTGAACCAGCAGAATGAACACCTTTCTGTCCCCTCTCCCTCTCACTGTCTGTAACTCTACCTCTCAAATACAACCTTAAAAAAAAAAAAAAAAAAAAACCTACCAAGAGAAAATCGGTTAACCACAAAGGACAACTAGAAGAGAAACGGAGAGAGGAAAAAACTGCCATAAAACTAGACAGCAAGAATCAAACGGCAGCAGTAATGCCTTACCTGTCAATAACTACCTGAAAGATAAACACTTAAAAGTGACAAATATTGCTGTGACCAAAAGAACAAAAAACACACACCAAAAAAACCCTATATGCTGCTTACAAGAAATTCACCTCACCAACTACACAGATGGAAAAATGACAAGATAGAGTAAGACATTCAAAAGAACTGGAGCCCACGAGAAAGCAGGAGTGGCCAGAAGCAGATCAGGTAAAACAGATTTTAAACCCAAAGCAGTAAAAAAGACATGGAAAATCATTTTGTAACAATGAAGATTCCCGTTCAGCAAGAATAAGTCATTGCCAGTACCTAGGAAGCCAATACTGAAGCACCCAAATACACGGAGCGAACACTTGTAGACCTGAAGGGAGACGATGGGCAGCGAGAAAGCTCCACTTAAGGAGGGGACAACGCACAGAACTGCTGTGAGGAAATGGACGACTCTGAATCACCACGTGGAAGAAGCTCAAGGCAGGAGGCAAACTGGATACATCCGGTGAGCAAAGGAAGGCTTAGAAGGGAGAAGACTTCGGTGGGAACAACCGGAAAAACTCTACCAGAAAAATAAACCATGCTGCATACAAGCATTAAAATAAAAACAAAGTTAATTAAAGCAGGACAGATTCTTCTAAGGACCTAGGATCAAAATGAATGCATTAAACTATGATCCAACCATATCTCAAGAACATTCGCTGATACATTGTGTTGCTCGTTCTGGTGGTTTCTCTACACTTTTTAACACTTTAATTGTTGTGGGGTTGTTTTTAATTTTGAAAAAATGCAGCTTCTAAGAAGAAATGTGTGACAGGTGCAATACAAGGGACATTCAAAAACATCATGGAAAAATGTTACAAAAAGATGCCTATTGGGGTACAAAAAATTTGAAATTCACAATCTTTTTATAAAACACAATCTGCAAAAAAGTGAACTTTCTGAAGATCATCTCATACATGGAGACCTCATGATTAATTTTTTTAAATATTTATCCATTTAAAGACAGAGTTACAGAGAGGCAGAGAGAGAGAGAGAGACAGAGAGAGGTCTTCCTTCGCTGGTTCATTCCCCAGATGGCCCCAATGGCCCAAGCTGCGCCAATCCCAAGCCAGGAGCCTCCTCCGGGTCTCCCACATGGGTGCAGGGGCCCAAGGACCTAAGCCATCCTCCACTGCTTTCCCAAGCCACAGCAGAGAGCTGGATCAACAGTCGAAGAGCCAAGACTCTAACCGGTGCCCACATGGGATGCCAGCACTGCAGGTGGCAGCTTTACCCGCGACACCACAGCACCAGCCCCCTTAACATTATTTTTTTTTTTTTTTGGCATGAAAGTAAACTTAGCTTTTCCATGACCTTTTGGAAATACCCTCCAATATCCTTTCTTGATGATACAAATGCAGAATTTTTAGCCCTTAACCTTCAAGATTCCACAGATATTCTAAGAACTACATCGTATCATTGGATAGCCACAGGATTTAGCAACCGCAAAGTCATTAGTGACTTAGCAAGATCGTCTGCGGTGGCATTTTTATGACAGATAGCAGACTGTGTTGAGGAAGAAATGAGAGCGAGAGAGATGCATCAGTGTGTGGCCATCACTGATGGGTATGTGAAGGGCAGACATGCAGCTCAGAGACTGACTGACATGTTTCCGTCTGTGCTTTCTTTCTTAAATGAGCTGACTGAAGAACGCCTGAGCCGTCAGCAGTGGCGTAGTGGTTTAAGTTCCCGCACTACATAGTGCATGCTGCTGGTTCGTATCCCAGCTATTCCTCTTCTGATCCAGGTCCCTGCTAATGGCCTGGGAGAAGTAGTGGAAGATGGCCCCAGAACTTGGGCTCCTGTACTCATGTGGGAGACCCAGATGAAGCTCCTGGTGTTGGCCTGGCCCAGCCCTGGCTACTGCAGCCATCTGGGGAGCACACCAGCAGATGAAAGGTCTCTGTCTCTCCCTCTCTCTCTAACTCCTTCAAACAAATAAATGCATTTAAAAAAAAAAAAAAAAAAAACAATGTCTGAATGCAGATTAGAATGATCTAGTAGATAAAGAGCGAGTCAAGATTTATGTAAGAGCAAAAATCATCATTGGAGTAAAGTTCCCAAAAATAAGCCAGAAAGATTTGAAGAAACGCGAAGAGGTTTAGCTCTGGGAGGAGGGGCAGTGTGTGCACCCTAACAGGAGGGAGGAACTGAGAGAGGACAGGTATTCGGGGAACTGGGTCTCATGGTGTGCTAAGAGAAACTGATGAAGTCCCACTGGCTGCCTCCAATCACCTGGGGAGTAGGGGCAAAGTGATCCAGTGAGGATGCAGGACACAAACGCTGGACTGGAGGTTTCAGGAAAGAGGTTAAAGCTTTAAATTGCCACTCAGAAAAGCTAAGAAGGAGCAGACTAGCAGAACAAGGTGCCACACAACGTAATCAAAAGGGCTACTGAAATAAATCCTATGGGAAAGGCTAGTGTGTAACGGGCCATAAAACTGACATCATATTATCCCATCTTCATACATTATAACCATGCCAACAGACAACCAATCAACACACAAGAATTGTAAAACAACAGATGCCTGAAAGTCAAAATGAACTCATCCGAAGCACATGACAAACCCATGACACTCAAGATGTAAACGTGGATGTTGGCAGAAAGTCAGCCAACACTAAAAAGCTCAACAGACCAAACCCTGACCCCTACCTACTACCTCTGTTTTCTACTAAAACCTCCAAATAGACAGTGAGAGAGAGAGACAGAGAGAAAGGTCTTCCTTCCGTTGGTTCACTCCCCAATGGCTGTTACGGCCGGCGCACCACGCTGATCCGAAGCCAGGAGCCAGGTGCTTCCTCCCAGTCTCCCATTCGGGTGCAGGGCTCAAGCACTTGGGCCATCCTCCACTGCCTTCCCGGGCCACAGCAGAGAGCTGGACAGGAAGAGGAGCAACCGGGACAGAATCCAGTCCCAACTGGGACTAGAACCCGGGGTCCCAGCCTAGTGAGCCGCAGCACCAGCCTCTAATAGTTTCTAAAACCATGCTATCACGGCCCTACAAAGTCCTACTGGAAGGTATCCAGCCCAGTTTTTAAAATTCTTATTTCAGGGATGAGCATTTGGCAAAGCCATTGAAATACCAGCAGGGATGGTTGCATTCCGTATTAAAGTGCCTGGATCTGCATTCCTGTTCCACTCCTCATTCCAGCTTCCTGATAATGCAGCCCCTGGGAGGCAGCAGGTGATGGCCCAAGGAGCTGGGTTCCTGTCACCCGCATAGGAGACCTGCATGGAGTTCTCAGCTCCTGGCTTCCCCCAGAGCTGGTCCCAGCTATTGAAAGCATCTGGAGAGTAAACCGGAGGACAGCATCTCTCCCCATCACTTCTTCTCTGTGTTTTTCTCTATACCTCTAGAATTAATTTTTTAAAGATTTTAATTATTTGAGAAATAGAGTTTTACAGAGAGAGAGACAGAGAGCAAGGTCTTCCATCTGCTGGTTTACTCCCCAGATGGCTGCAATAGTCAGAGCTGGGCCCATCCAAAGCCAGGAGCTGCCTCTAGGTCTCCCACAGTGGTGCAGGGGCCCAAGCACTTGGGCAGTCCTCCTCTCCTTTCCCAGGCACATTCACGGAGAGCAGGAACGGAAGAGGAGCGGCTGGGATACAAACTGGCACCCCTGTGGGATGCCAGCACCGCAGGTGGAAGCTTCACCTACTACACCATAGCACTGGCCCCAGAATAACTAATCTCTCAAAAATTGGCTTTAAGGAGAAAAATAAACTTCTGCTTTCACCAGCTATTACTCTGATTTCCGTTTCCTATCTACTGAATTAAATTTATTTTGGTACCTATCTCTGAACATGGTATTTAAATATAACCAAGTGGGTGCCCCCAAGAGACTCTATCTTACCGATATTGCCGTGATCCTGAGAGAGTCAACAGTGGAGTGTCTGAATAGGTACCACAGAACTGGTCCGATTTCTCCGGTAATAAAGCCTTGGGCTTGAGCAGAAAAGGTAGTACAGACATTTTCAATTATCTTTGCAGCCATGTGATTCACGATACGTTCTTCCTAGAGTGAAAAAAAAAAAAAAAAAAAAAAAAAAAAAAGAGCAGGGGAAGGTTGAATTATTTTATATAATATACACATGCCACAGCTTCACAATGACTGCCAATGATATACTCATAGAAAAACTGTACCATCAGCCCCTTGGAGGGTTAGGCATCTTGGGAGGTATGATAATGCTTGGAGATTATTATGAAACTGTAACCAATAATCAGCTAGTTATTCACGAGCACAACAGAATTCTCAATGTTTTAATAAAAACTGAAATGACATGAGTATAATGTAAAAATTAGAAGATAGTGTTAGGCCGGCGCCATGGCTTACTAGGCTAATCCTCCGCCTGCAGCGCCAGCACCCCGGATTGGGACGCCGGATTCTGTCCCGGTTGCTCCTCTTCCAGTCTGGCTCTCTGCTGTGGTCCACGAGGGCAGTGGAGGATGGCCCAGGTGCTTGGGCCCTGCACCCACATGGGAGACCAGGAGGAGGCACCTGGCTCCTGGCTTCGGATCAGCGCAACGCGTGGGCCGAAGTGGCCATTTTGGGGGTGAACCAACGGAGGGAGGACCTTTCTCTCTGTCTCTCACTATTTAACTCTGCTATTTAAAAAAAAAAAAAAAAAAAAAAAAAAAAAGGTAGTTTTAAAATCACTGGGAACCACAGACATCACCCAGAACTAGTGATGCAAAGACCACTTAAATCCAGGCTGCCCTTAAAAGAGTCCCAAGAAAAACGCAGTCTCAATGAGATGACCAAATCATAAAAAGACTAGACTAAAAGCTATCATGGCTATCCCTAACAGAGTTTAAAAGTTGACCTGAAAAGATTAAAACTGTTTTCTGCCCATATAAATGAGTCCATGAAAAGGCCCAAAACTACTTAAAGGAAAACAAAAAAAATCTTCAGTACCCAACTACATAAAATTCAGGCACCAGTGCTGTGGCACTGTTTACAATGCTAGCATCCCACAGCCAAGTACTGGCTTGATTCCCGGCTGTTTTGCTTCTCATCCAGCTCCCAGCCAATGCACCTGGGGAGGCAGCAGAAGATGCCCCAGGACTTGCACCCCGTCATCCAACGGGGAGACCCGGGTGGAGTTTCTGGCTCCGCCTCAGCCTAGCCCAGACGGGACTGTTGTGGGGATTCAGGGGAGTGAACCAGCAGATGGAAGGTATCTTCTCCTTCCCCATCCTCCTCCTCCTGTGTTGCTCTGCCTTTCAAATAGGTAATTCAAAAAAAGTGTCTCGCATCTGATTAGTTACCAAGTATTCAAAGAAGCAGGGAAATCTAACTCAGAGAATAAAATCCGATCAGGAGATAGCAGAAAGAAGCTAAAATGGCTATCACAAGCAGTCACGTACTCAGAATTACTCAGATCAACAGAGATAAATCATGCAAATTCCTCATTAAAAATACATTGGATGCGGTTAATAGATTAGGAGCTGTAGATGCAACAGTGAATTGAATGAGAGCAGTTATCAATAAACACAGAAATAAACACAACTGAGTTAAAAAAAAAAAAAAAGAACAGAGCCTAAGTGAACTTTGGGACAACTTTGAAGGATCTGTAAATGTAGTTGGAATATAAGAGGAGTTGTCAGGCAGAAAAATGGCTAAGATACTTAATGAATTATTTCTCAGATGCATTAAAACTATCAACTCCAGGTTGCTCAATGAGGCCCAAGAACAGGAAACAAACAACAACAACAACAACAAAGGTACACCATAGTCAGACTACTATAAAGCAATAATAAACAGAAAAAGATTTAAAGGGGCTAGCGTAAAAAACACGTATTCCACAGAGAGGAACAAAGGGAAGAATGATTGCAGATTTCTTGTCCGGAACAATACAAAGCAGAACAAGGCAGGCATTTAGTTAAGAGGCCATCTGTAATTGCCTCATCTCATATCTGAGTCCCTGGGTTCAAGTCCAGACTTCAATTCCAAACCAACTCCCTACCAATGCATACCCTGGGAGGCAGCTGTGATGACCCAAGTACTTGAGTCCTTGCCACCCACTCAGGAGACCAGAAATCAGTTCCAGGCTCCTGACGCGGGCCTGTCTCTGCCTCAGCTGTTGTGGACAGAATGAAGATGTTTCGCATGCACTCTCTCTCTCTCTGTCCTTTTCAAATGGACAAAAATTTTAAAAGATGAGACAGCAGAGAAATATCTTTAGAAATAACTATCAACCTACAAATCTACAACCAAAAGTAACACCATTCCAACAGAAAGCTAAAAGCAAAACTGCGAAGACTGATAAACAATTCAATACAGCTTCAGGATACAAAATCAACTTACAAATATAAATGATATTCCCATATGCTGACAAACAACTGTATGAAAAAGAAATTAACACTGCTATTTACAATGGTACAAAAATATGAGTAAATTTAACAAGGAAGTTAAAGATCTACACTGAAAACTATAAACAATGATGAAAGAACACTGAAGATGACACAAGTTGATGGAAAGGTATGCGTCTGGAAATAATCACTTTTGTTAAAAGGTCCATGGGGCCAACACTGTGGTGTAGCAGGTAAAGCCGCTGCCTACAGTGCCAGCCTGCCATGTGGGCGCCAGGTCGAGTCCTGGCTGCCTCACTTCCAATCCAGCTCTCTGCTAGGGCCTGGGAAAGCAGTAGAAGATGGCCCAAGTCCTTGGGCCCCTGCACCCGTGTGGGAGACCAGGAAGAAGCTCTTGGCTCCTGGCTTGAGATCAGCACAGCTCTTGCCGTTGTGGCCATCTGGGGAGTGAACCAGCAAATGGAAGACCTCTCCCTCTCCCTCTCCCTCTCTCTCTCTCTGCCTCTCCTTCTCTAAGTAACTCTGACTTTCAAATAAGTAAATCTTTAAAAAAAAAAAAAGCTTAAAAAAGGTCTATAGTACCCAAAGTAATCTACAGATTCAGTGCAATCCCTATCAAAATTTCAATGTCATTCTTTATAGAAATAGAAAAAAATCATAAAATTTGTATGGAACCACAAAAGACCCCAAAAAGTCAACACTATCTTAAGTAGAACCAAGCTAGAGGCAGTACCCTAACGGATTTCAAAATACATTATAAAACTACAGTAATCAAAACAGCATGACACTGTCATAAAAACAGATATAATGGGGCTGGCACTGTGGTGCAGCGGGTTAGAGCCCTAGCCTGAAGCGCAGGCATCCTATATGGGCACCGGTTCTAGTTCCTGCTGCTCCTCTTCCAATCCAGCTCTCTGCTATGGCCTAGGAAAGCAGAAGATGGCCTAAGTCCTTGGGCCCCTGCACCCATGTGGCAGACTCAGATGAAGCTGGCTTCGGATGGGCACAGCTCCAGCCGTTGTGGTCATCTGGGGAGTAAACCAACAGATGGAAGACCTCTCTCTGTGTGTCTCTACCACTCTCTGTAATTTCAAATAAATTAAATACATCTTTTGAAAAAAAAAAAAAAGATACAATGACCAATGGGAAAGGACAGAGAACCAGAAATAAAACCACACAGCTATAGTCAATAGATTTTTGATAAATGTGGCAAGATCACACAATGAGGAAAAGATACCCTCTTCAATAAATTGTGTTAGGAAAACTGGATATCCACACACACAAGAATAAATCCAACCTAATCTCACTTCTCATACAAACAATCAATTGAGGGGGCGGCGCTGTGGCTCAGCGGGTTAATGCCTTGGCCTGAAGCACCAGCATCCCATATGGGCGCTGGTTCTAGAACCGGCTGCTCCTCTTCCCATCCAGCTCTCTGCTATGGCCTGGAAAAGCAGTAGAAGATGGCCCAAGTCCTTGGGCCCCTGCACCCGCGTGGGAAACCCGGAAAAAGTTCCTGGCTTCAGATCGGCACAGCTCTGGCCATTGCAGCCAACTGGGGAGTGAACCATCGGATGGAAGACCTCTCTCTCTCTCTCTCTCTCTCTCTCTCTCTCTCTGCCTCTCTCTCTCTGCATCTCTCTCTCTCTCTCTGCCTCTCCTCTTTCTGTGTAACTCTGACTTTCAAAGAAATAAATAAATTAAAAAAAATAATCAATTGAACATGAATTAAAGACTTAAATGTAAGAACTTAAACTATAAAACTGTTAGAAGTAAACACAAGGGAAATCCTACAGTACACTGCTATGGGCTGAGATTTCTTGGTCTGATTCCAAAACATAGGCAACGAAAGAAAAAGCAAATAGAAAGGCATCAAACTAAAATGCTCCTGCACAACAACAAAGCATACAGTGAAGAAGTCAGTCAGGTTGGGAGGAAGTATCTGCAAACCGTGCAGTGGACAGGAGTTAACATCCACCATCTACAAGGAAGCCAAATTACTAATAACCAGAAAACAACCTAGAAAAACTGGGCAAAAATACTTGGATATTTCTCAAAAGACAGCAAAAATGACCAACTGAAAACCAACAAAAAGTTTGACATCTCTACTCAGCAGAGAAATCAATGCAAATTAAAACCACAATGAGGCATGACGGCATACCTTCATTTTTCTGACAGTAGCCAGTAAGTTTTGGCAAGAAGGCAGAGAAAGGGGGACAACTATAGACTAATAGCAGTATTTTGTAAGTAGTAAAGCTGTTTTGGAAAAACAGTATGGAGGGTCTTTAAAAAACTCAAAAGTAGACTTACTGCATAATCCAATAATCCAACTACTGGGTATACACCCAGAGAAACTCAAGTCAGTATGCCCAGAAGATACTCATTCACTGTGGCATTGTTCACAACAACCAAGGCAGAAAAACAACTCTGTGTCTATCAACACATAGGTGGATAAATGGATTTTTTTTTTTTTTTTTTGACAGGCAGAGTGGACAGTGAGAGAGAGAGACAGAGAGAGAAAGGTCTTCCTTTGCCGTTGGCTCACCCTCCAATGGCCGCTGCTGCAGCCGGCGCACCGCGCTGATCCGATGGCAGGAGCCAGGATCCAGGTGCTTTTCCTGGTCTCCCATGGGGTGCAGGGCCCAAGCACCTGGGCCATCCTCCACTGCACTCCCGTGCCATAGCAGAGAGCTGGCCTGGAAG